AGGAGGAGCGGGCGAACCGGCAGAAGAGGAGGTGCGGACGGACCAGCAGAAGACGACCACCATAACACTTGCAATGAGTTAGAGTTCGTATCGAACATTTCGGCGGTTCAAATACGAACCGAACACGGGGGGGTTCGGCTCATCCCTACTGAAGAGCCCCAGACAGCACCCTACACCAATACACATATTACCCATAAACTGATGACCATGTCGTCATAGTGTTGTCACCAGAACAAGAGGTGAGGGGAAATCTTTCGGAGCATATATCTTCCAATGTGGGGACTCTTCTTCGGGAGTCTTCTTTGCTTAGGCCTAGTTCACACCATGACACAGTGCCCCACAATGCACTTAGATTTGTGTAGTAAGGTGTGTTACAGCCCATTCATTTTGTATGGACAACCTATACAGTGCATCCCAACACAAAAATGTAGTGCGTGCTGCATAGTTTTGCAATGCAAAGCACACCGTACATTGGGGAGTGCTGCTTTTCATAGTTGTGCTGCTTTTCATAGTTGTGCTGGGCTGCCATTTAAAAACGTGTGTGACTGCACTGGGGTGAATGGGTCTTTACTTGTCCTGAGTCACTCACTCGCTCACTCACTGTACTAAAGTCAGAGGGTGAGCAAATAGATTTTGCAAGCAGGGAAATGTTACCAATATTATTACATAGGATTTATATAGCGCCAACAGTTTGCGCAGCGCTTTACAATATAAGGACGACATTACAATCACAATACAATTCAAGACAAGATGGTAAGGAGGGCCCTGCCCCTGAGTGCTTACAATCTAAAAGGGAGGGAGAAGGGATACATGAGGAGGGAGCTGTGTGGGGAGGAATTGTTTGAGAATGTGATGGTTCAGTGGTTAGTTTGAAGTGTGATAGGCTTCCCTGAAGAGATGAGTCTTTAGGGATCACCTAAAGGCAGTCAAGGTGGGAGATAGGTGGACAGGTTGGGGTAAAGAATTCCAGAGGATGGGAGAGACTCTAGAGAAGTATAGGAGGAGTTGACAAGGGAGCTGGAAAGCAGAAGGTCTTGGGAGGAGGGGAGGGTTAGGGTGATACTTTGAGACCAGGTTTGAGATATATCAGGAGGCAGAGTTGTGGATGGCTTTATGAGTGACTGTTAATATTTTGAATTTTATCCTGTAGGCCAGTGGAAGCCAGTGCAGGAATTGGCAGAGGGGGGTTGCAGACACTGAGCGGTTGGTCAGGTGGATGAGTCTAGCAGCAGCATTCATGATATACTGAAGGGGGGATGTAGAGGGCATAAAGGGATATAGATGGCAATAAAAATCTGACAGGTTTGAAGTCTTCCCTGCATCTAAAGCTTAATTCCAAAACGTTTTGGCTGGAGTTGCACCTTTTTATATTTTTGCTTCGATTTCACTATTCTTTTTATGAAGTGCTGTCTTCTACTGAGTGTGGTCATGTGATCTATTTTTGTCTTCTCTTTAGTCCTGGCACAGAGGGGATTCTTCAAGGACAAACCGTTTGTCAATTATCTGAAATATCTTCTTTACTGGAAGGATCCTGAATATGCAAAATATTTAAAGTAAGTGTAAAATGTCTTTTATGACTTGTGTGTGTTTAGTTACTATTTGTGTAGATGGACTCATCGGTGCCAAGAGAGGGATAGTATGGGTAAAACGATGGCTTGTATCTGTCACAACCAAGGCTGCTATTGCCTGATGATTGAAAGTCGTCATTTCCAGGGAAGAGTACGTCCTGTATCATCACACGCAGAGATGTTCTGGACCCAGATCTACAACTTCTTGTGCTTTGTCAGTTGATTGGAGGGGAGTGAGCTAAAAACAATGGGAAAATATCACTTTGCCTTACGTCTCTGATCCATAACCCTGCTGGTTCAGATGTCTGCCTGTTCAGTTTAGGTTTTTCTTTGGCTACTAAAATCTGTGCTATATATGAAAGCCATTCAGATCTGAAGTGGTCTACAGACATTTAGCGGCGGTTACACATGCAGGAATGAAATGACTGATACGTGATTCTAACTGATCTCATGCTTGTGTTCACATTTTATGTCAGTACCTATGGAAAAGGTAGAAGGAATAGGAGAACTTTGGGCAAATTAAATCTTAACCCTTACCGTGCAGCTACCCTGCACGGGTAAAGTGCTCATTTTGTCTAGGGAGCTAAAAACGATTTTAGCGCCCTAGACAAAATGAGCACTTAACCCTTGCAATGCAGGGCTAGCTGCCATTGCTGAGTCTAGAGAGCCCTGTTTCGCCCATAACCTGGGCCTGTCAATCAATGCGTTTCACAGAATGTCCATTCTCCTTGTTCTTAGTACTCAGTCCTCCAAGGCTCAGTGTTAACACAGTGTGCCCATCATTGCTCTTAAAAGAACTGTGGGGTAAGTGGTTTTTCCCCATAGTTCTCCTAAGGGTCACGGGAGGGCATATACTAACCTCCTCCTGTGACCTAAAGGTCAGTATACCGCAAGCTACAGCTCGCGGTATATTGAGGCAGCCGGTATGGGTCCCGACATTACTGTCGAGAGCCACAGTGACAGGCAGAGCCCGCTATCTAGAGGCAGAGCCAGCTGTTCCCTCCAGTCGGCGCTGGAGGATCGGAGCAGGCAGGGGGGAATCCCTGCAGGGAGCCGTGCCTGACAGTCACGGCTCTTTGCAGGGAGATGATCAAGAAGTGAGCGAGCGGCGGTGTGTGTTCTCTCACCTCCCGATCTATTGAGACGAGGTGTGACAGTTTCATTGTCACATGTCGGCCCCAACTATGAGGATGAGCGATTTTCACTCGCCTCATAGTTCTCCTTTTTAACTCTCTGTATTCTGCTCTTTTATGGATGAAGTTCTCCCTTATGGAATGGGTATATAATATGCATTATGTGTGTTATAACAATTACTTAAATATACTCAATCTATTTTAAAAAGCCTTATTTTTGAAAAAAATAAATTGAAAATTATCAACAAATATGCAAACAATCAAAAGATCAAAACCTCAATCAAAAAGCAAACAATTTAGAATACTTTTGTATTGTAAAGATAAAGAGTGGTATCATTTAGAGAATCTGCCTTTTACAATATATGTTCATTGACGATCTTGTTCTCTGTGCCCCTCTTGTCTTTCACACCGCTTGCATATGTATTTAGCTGTGTGCCTAGACTTCAGCTTTAACATTGGTAAACTAGTACAATAGATTTGCCAAGTATAAAAATTACAAATGTTTTTTGTTTTCCTCCAGGTATCCCCAATGCTTGTATATGTTGGAATTGCTACAGTATGAACATTTCCGCAAAGAGCTTGTGAATGCCCAGTGTGCCAAGTTTATAGATGAACAGCAAATCTTGCACTGGCAACACTATTCCCGCAAGCGTACGAGACTCCAGCAAGCTCTGGCAGAGCAGCAACCACAAAACAACACCATTGGAAAGTGACACATTTGTATAAAGTAATATTCACGCCCATAACAAAAGAATGATGTGTTGTTACCGAATGTAAATAGTGATGCCCATTACCTACAAGTGAATCTGAACTATGGATCACTTTGAAGCGTTTAATATTGTCACATGTAATTATTCAGCTTGGCAAGTGACCTCATTAATGAATACTGGTCAGATACTGTTTTGTGTATTATATTGCTCAGAGAAAAGACTTCTTTCCAACACATGACTCTACTGCAGGGATGGCCAAACTGCGGCCCTCCAGCTGTGGTGGAACTACGAATCCCATGAGGCTTTGCAAGATTCTCACAGACACGACTCCCGGAGAGAGATGCTTCATGGGATTTGTTGTTTCACCACAGCCGGAGGGCTGGAGTTTGGCCATCCTTGCTCTACTGCTACCTGCATACCATCAAATGCCATGAAATATATGCTCTGAATAGTTTTGGCAGAATCCTGGCCTATCATGATTTGCCTTTTTTCATATTAAGGCTTGAGATGCCTAAATCTAAAAATGTAGGGTTACAGCTTCCTCTAGCTCTTGGGAATTCAAGCTTTACCATCTCTAAGCAGTTCTGTACTCTACAACATTCTGTGTGATGTAGAGAAAGTGGTAAGTCCAACAAGGTGTAAGAGACCTGCTCATAATGATCAGAGCTAGAAGGGACCCTACTGAACAGATTGCCATATCAACCCAGTGAGTCGTTCAGCACACAAAATGTTTTTTTGAGTGGACACCATTTCCCACCGTGTTAAACATGGCCGGTAAACCACTGGCATTATAGAAGGAAGTTGTTGGAGCATGACTCCAAGGTGTTTTTTTCTTCTAAATGGCTTATGGCAGAGTATGTAGGGCCTGGGGTGCACATGAGCAGCTATAACAAATGGGTAAGGTATGTGTAAGCATCTTGTGATTGCTGTTATCCACATACTGTATGTCACACTGACAAATTCTGCATACAGACAGGTCACTTGATATGAATGAAATTGTAAACCATCCTGAATGTTTTGTTAATGCCAACAAAAAAGGTTCAGAATCTCCCCAATTAGACACCACAACAAAATGCTCACAAGGCTTTTAGCCATTCCCTACAAAGTTTTAGCAAGAGATATACTTAAAAGTGACACTAAAATCTAGTTCAATCTTACAAATGCATTCAGGTCCCATATTAACAAAAATTTATCTTATTTGTGTATCAAATCATCTCTGAATTGGTGCTGACACTGTCCTTCCTTCTGGAGGGTGGTTACTTTTGTTCCCCATGGTCCCTGTGTGTGTTGTAAACTAGCCGCCGCTCCAAGCTCACTCCTGTGATGGACTACAATCTCAATACAAATTAGTAAACAAAATGGAAGATTGTCGTCCAACACAGGAGTGAGCTTGGAGTGGTGGCTACAACACACAGGGACCATGGGGAACAAATGTAGCCATCCTCCAGAAGGAAGAACAGTGTCAGCACCAATTCAGAGATGATTTGAGGATCTACAGCCGAGTGATACACAAATAAGATACATTTCTGTTAATACTTAAAGTACTTGAAAGCATTTTCTAAGATTTATTCCCTGAGTCTAGTGTCACTTTAAGGGAGTAGGGGTTTAGTTTCAGTTTTAGGCTTGAGGTAGCGGTAAGGAAGGGGGGATTACTTCTCTGGGTACCCTTTTTAAAGGTTAGATGACCATTCAGGTCAGAGTACTAGATTCAGGTTAAATGTTGTTGGGTTAAACACACACTTAAAAGGTTAGGTGTTAAAGAATGCGCTCGTGTAGGAGATAGTGTGTACTTAGAATAAGTGCAAACCATGAAGCTCCCCTAAGTGTTGTGTGCTCAGCAATGGAAATTAACACTCTTGGTGCCTAGAATCAACCAATAACTACTATTTCATTCACAGTACAGATTACTGTATAGTGCAAGTGAAACTCCAGCCAAAAATGGTTTTGCGCTTTGGATAGAATGGGGAAGAGTAAGATCCTCCGTCACGTTTTTATAGCTGATCGAGTCTCCTTCCCCTCAGTTCCTATCCCATGACCACTGAGTCATTGCGTTGAGCTGAACTTCCTATTTTCTCTCCGTATATTCATTTGGAGAACCCACTTGGGAGCCAGTAATGTTGTCACATGGTTACAAAGAACAAATGTAATATTAATATTGTTCAGAGTGGCTATGGGACCATCATACAAGTTCTCCAGCAGTCACCTCACTCACAGTGATGCTGCAGAGTGCAGCTTGTGAGTTAGATAATGGAAAAATAAGTCATTTTCCTCTTGGGTATGTAAACCAGTCTTATTATTTAATCAAATTAATGTTATTTCTCAATAAAAAAATATTTCCACAAAATTCCTGGTTTCTTTTAGAGTATTTCTACCTAAAGCAAACTCTTCCTGAGAGAAACATGGAAGCTGCCATTGCTGATCTTCTGAAAATGCTGGCTGTTATGCTGACCTACCTCTTTCAATACCATCTGGGTCACTGACGTGGAACAAGCGTGCAGATCAGGAAAGTCAGAATTCCTTATCTGTGTACTTGATCTGGGTCTCCGAATTTAAGCATTGAAGACACAGGGTCAGCATAACATCCAGGGGAGTAGTGTGCACAATGTGAATTTAGCAATGGCAGACATTCTTTAAGACGGGGTAGGGAGGTGGAGATCTACCTGAACAACATTAAAGAGATCAAAGATCACCAGGTGTTTTTTTTTTTTTAAAGGAGAGAACCTAGAAAGCCCCCAATGAAAAGTAAGGGTAGCTAAGTAAGTAGAGTTTAACCAGTGATCACCTACCTAGGCCACTCCACTCCGCCGGATACCAGACATCCCAACCTGCAAAAACTCATTTCACACTGTCTGGGTTTCTACACTGTTGTCGTTTTTTTACCCCCCATCATACATGGGTACACTTTATTGTAGTCTGGGGTGAAGTGCGTTTTGTACTTTTTTTTTTTTTTTATATTTGGACACTCTGCCATGGCGCTGGCACTATTTAAAACAAACTCAGGTCTGTTTAATTGATCCTCCTCTGAGGTCAATCGTAAAGCCCGCCAAAGAAAGACAGTCTCACACTCTTTGGCGGGCTTTACATTTGTCTCTGATCAACTAATCAGGACGCGCGCTGTCACTCTCTCAATATTACTAAAAAAAAAAATCCCCTAGACTCGAGGAGGTGGCTGAGGAGCCTCCCACCTAGCACAGCACAAAGCATGTGGTGACCCCCTTAACAGTGGGTTGTGACCCACTTTTGGGTCGCGACCCACAGGTTGAGAACCACTGCCCTAGAGGCAGGCAGGTTTGACCAAGGTATGCAAGTAACTATGCAATAATCCTGATGAGCCTCTAGAGTGCAGCAACTTTGACCTCAATATACAATAGTTTATGGCAGTAGTAACATAATGAGGCCCTAGAGGGCAACAAGTTTGACTTCAGTATACCAATAGTTTATGGCAGTATTATGAGAAGGAGCCCCTAGAGGGCAGCAAGCTCATGGCACAGCAATGAAAGACAATATGGCAACGTTATCACTGTGGAGGATATGGCAATCCACTACCCATTTGGTTACTGCTTGAAACAGCTCTGAAACAACTCCCTCAATGCCATCTTTCATGTTACAGCTTGTTCTGGTTGAGCAGAAAGCACTTGCCATAGCTACAAAACACACCCACAAAAGCAACTAATAAAGTGACCAGGACTTTCTCCATTCCTGCACTTTGACCAATCACAACACCCTTCCTGAAGGGGAGAGAGCAGCCTGCAACCTCCTCCTGGCTCTCTCCTCCTCCCAGCATCAACTCTCTAGTGCTGATGCTGTTTAAACAGCAAAACGCAGTTGCAATCAACGTGCTGCCGACCCTCGCATTAAGAGTTGAAACCAAAATCATGTTTTTTTGCCCAACCTTTCTGTTTTAGCTGTCCTCCATTTCTACTGCCTGACACTCTTCCTTACCAGGAATTCCTATTAATAGTACTGACTTAGCTCATGGGTAACTATAGTAAACAAGGCTGCAGACATCATTTTCCTACATTCTTGATTGCACAGTGTAGAAGCTGCGGCACAATGGTGCCAGCCATGTGCTTTCCCTTCTGTAAGCAAGCTCCTACTAAGACACTATGAAATGCAGCAGATCACCTGACTACCATATAACAGTGCCATCCCGCTTCCAGACAGTGCAAGGAAGTATACAAAGCCTAATATAACAAGTAGATTTCAATCATTTACATAAGCTATTTACAGTAATTATAACTGGATAATAGGGTGTCTTTTCTATGCCTGGGGTTAAAGCTAAACTCAGGGCACAGAAAACCAGTTATTTAAATATGCTCTTTAATACACACGCATATTATAAATCCACTTTGTATGCACCAAATGCCTTTGCATATCCAATTATTACATTACAGTGACATCATCACTGTGTTGCACAACGCTGTGGGAGGGATCAACAGGCCCCACCCATTACACAGAAAACTACAGGAGGGGGCGGATACAAGACCAGACACACTGCACAAGAAGGGACGGCAGCAGTGACTGGTCTTTATTACAGGAAGCTCGCACACAAACTGTCACATTGGATTACAGCATAGATCTGGAATGTACACAGGACACCAAGATTCCAATACACATGCCTCTTGTATGTACAATATTTGCCTATCCGAGTTCAGCTTTAAACATATAGAAAATGGGGGGAAAACAAAACAAACAACCATTCTAAGGAGGTGGTTTATCCTAAAGTGCTGCTTATATTTTCAGGCATCATCATTACTATTTAGATACTCACCTTCCACGCAGCATTGCCCGTCCATGTATTTAAATTTCTGAGCTGTTGGCAGATAATGGACAAATATTGATTTTTTTACACATTTGTACAAAATATACAACAATGCTAGGAGAGGAATGTATAGATGATACAAGGCTTTTAAAAAAAAAATGCTTATGGAGATGGCAGCACTATCTCTGTCCATTCAAGTCCCATAATAGTGCTTTTCTTTAGTACACACAAAGTATACTGAAAAAGCAAACACGTGGCAGGATCTAGGCATTCACCATTGAATGTATTACTAAACTAACACAATTTCAGCACACAGCATGGACTCTCAATGCCACAACAAAGAGAAACCGGCTGACACATGGTATTGTTCATGTATAGGTGGTCTAATACCTGGTATGCCCGGCAACAATCTATACAAGCTTAAAACCCATCGGATTTACAATACTGCTTTAGACCAGGTATTGTTCTTTAATTACTACATTCCTGTCATACGGATCAATAAAAAGGGAAACATAATTTCTATTCAATTAGCTTTATTTAGTTTAAGTGTTAAACAATTTTTGCAAATAAACTAGGCAGAATTTACAGGTAGGAGTATAAAAAGTAGATGAAGAAATCGGACGCTCTGTATAAATGGATCTTATTAGATATGTGACATTTTCATTACTTTAAGCTAGTGGTAGGCAACCTCAGGGCACCGGCTGTGCTTTGCAAATCCCATCATCATGTCCTGCAATGCCTCATGGGACTTTTAGCTCCACAACAGCTGGCGTGCTGAGGTTGCCTACCCCTGCTATAAGCTGTGCCAGCAGAACACGTCAAGAAGGCACAACTTTAGAGTTTTCTTTTCAATTAAAAAAGGAAAAGGTGTGCGATTCATCCAATGCGGAACAATAAGTGTAAAGCTTATGTAGTGTACAACCAGTGTACCCCATGCTTGCTAAGAACACAATGGTTTTACTGGCATACATTCCTACTATAAAGGTTGACAAATAGTTGGCACAACAGCTACTTTTCTGAAATGTTTAATCATCTGAAAACAGCATCTGGATTAGGTCAGGTTTAAAGCATTCTTCTTCTGTCAGCTTCTGTGCCTGGAAAAAAAGGAGAGGTAAGAACAGTGAGATTTCCACAGCAGTACTGGAGCAGAATCACCGATAGGTAAAACCCTAATCCAAACGCTATGATTTACTAAAGGGTGAGATGAGTTTGCATGTCTTATTTTGGCCTGTTTCCACATACTTTTTTTTTTTTACAGAACCTGATTCACTACAATGTTAGCACTCTGATAAAGTGAATTTCTCCTATGTGCAAAATGAGTGAGCAACAAAATTTGCTTGTACAGGTGAAACTCGAAAAATTAGAATATCGTGCAAAAGTTCATTTATTTCACTAATGCAACTTAGCCGTCTACCAGGAGATTTTGGAGCACTTCATGCTTTTTCCGCAGACGAGCTCTATGGGGATGCTGACTTCATTTTCCAGCAGGACTTGGCACCTGCCCACACTGCCAAAAATGTTCTGAGATTGTGGATCTGGGTTTTCATGAGCTGTAAGCTCATGAAAACTTGTGTAGCAAGCACAAACGCTTGCTACACAAGCTGAGGGCTATGGGCATAGATGGAGGTGGTGTGTACGTGGATAGAGAACTGGCTACGGGAACGTGTCCAGAGGGTGTCTGTAAATGGCACCTTTTCAGACTGGGCTAGTGTAATGAGCGGTGTGCCTCAGGGTTCTGTGCTGGGTCCCATATTGTTCAACTCATTTATTAATGACATCGGGGAAGGTGTTAACAGTGATATTT